TCTTTAACGCTCGACGCTGCAACGCTCCCATGTATTGGCACCTTAAGAATTGACCAGTCATGTTGAGAATCGTCGAATTATAAGATCGCCATTTTTGTGAATATTCTATCGTAATTGGTTAGTTCTTACGTTACGTCTTACGATTACTGTTACGAAAAATGTGTGTGGCCAGCTTTACCGCGTCCTGTGCAGGAGCCATTACGGGTGCTTTCCAATTGCTTAACACATCTTGACACACACGTACACAAAATCAGTTTATTGGTCATATATTATCTAAAATATCTTGTAAGATAATATGCAACCAATAAACTGGTTTTGTGTAACACAGTGTATGCAACTGGAAAGCACGTTACTGTTAAGCTGGCCAAACACATTTTCCGTAACGGTAAACGTAAGGTTGAGTTTTTTATTTGCAACAGATGTAGCTGAATGCATTTCGTGGATGCATCAAGATTGCACTTTTTAAGGTTACTAGCTAGTGATGTACTGTCCCTAGAAAATAAATTTTCCTATTAGCTATTGGATCGTCGTATGTCTGTGTCGGGTCCCAATCAGTAATGTATCAGTATTGCTTTTATAAAAATTGTGAGAGAGAGAAAGAAAGAGAAAGGCAGTCTAATAATAATATCAAATAGTATAAAAAATGTCATTAATTGAAATCGATTTAGTACATGGAACATGGTCAGTTATTAGAGGATAAATAGTCCTCAGAGTTAAGGATGTATCTGAGATACAATCGGTGACAAAAGTGCTTGAAAAACGAAAAATTTTAATATCTGCTTCAAACGTGTTGTAAACCTAGTGATAAGTGATACAAATAGTGACTAATATAATATATTTCTCATTTAAAAAGTTATTTTTTACTTTCTCAACAATTTATTACTTTTATTTGCTTTTCTTCACCTTTCTATAATAAAACTTTTGGCAGGAAAAATACCCTGAATTCAACTTTACAACATTAAATTTCGTATTTATTTAACATCAATATCCATCAGTGCAAAGGAGTAAAGGAATTGGGATAAGTTAAAACAGGTAAATATGCATTGTCTGAACAATAACTATCAATATTATTTATTGTTATTATAAATATTTAATGAAAAAAGTTAAACGTAGCAACAGCGTGCCATGTAGTTTGTGGCTTGTATGTTGGCAGTAATGTACTGTCGTGGCAGGTTAGATGAAACAATAAAAGCTCAAATTTTACACTTATCCTATTGTTCATCGAAATTATTTAATTTATATTCTTGTCCTCTACATGAAACAATACAGACAAAACAAGAATTTACGACGTAACTTTATTATACTGATTTATAGGTTATTCATTTGACATTAGCTGATTGCAACGTTACCGCATTTCCAATTACTAACTTCTTATGACAATCGCAAAATTGTCACAAATAAAAATAAATTTCTCTGAAACCGTGTTGTAAAAATTAATCAAATTCCGCAAGTTCCGATAATTCAGGATTTATATGTATAAAAATATTTAAATTTTTTGTACTATTTTTTCTATACGTTTTTACTCTTCACATTCAGGGAAGTTGCTTTTGCCATAAGAATACGTGTAAAATTAACATAATAATTACTCTTCAACAGTTTAGTGAATCGACTTGAAATTTTTTTCAGTATATTATAGATAATTAAGGAAAAGTTACCCAAAGTTTTATCAAATAGGTACTATTTTTATATAGCTCAGATACATCCTTAACTTCAGGTGCTGTCATTACCCAGTAAGCAATCTGCGCGCAGAGTCTGTCGACAGACTATGACGGCAGATTGGCTGCAGATTGCGCGCAGATCCTGTGGTTTCGTAGGTTCTTCAATTAAATTTTCTCATAATTTTTCATAATTACTCATAGAATAAGCGCTTTCTCATAAATACTCATAAAAACTATGACAAAAACAAATTTTTCTACATTATTTTTCACAATTTTTAATATTTTCTCTAGTGAAATTCGAACTTGAACTGAAGACATCTTTTGGATAATTGTCCGTCGCCTTAGACACTACGTCAATTCTTCACTTGATAAAAAGCGCTTTGTATTGCCCATTTAAAGTTTAAGGAAGAAAAATATTATAGTTTGTTCGCCTTTTAAGCCGCAAAATATAGACGAAACCGTTTAGCGTATAAATAATGTAAGAAAGACTGGTACGATAATTCGAAATTAATTTTCTACCAAGGAATGTATAGAAAATTACTGCAATAAAACAGCAGATAATGACATTTTTCTATCATGTTAATAAAATACTGTACTTTTACATGTGCGAATTAATTTGGTCGATCGTCCCGTTCAGATTGTATTAAGTTTTATCAAAATCGAAGTATGATATATTTTTAAATAAACCATCAAAAAAATTCTGTAAAAGTTATTTACATAGCGAGACTAATATTTTATTCGGTGCTGCTGCCTTCAGTACTTATTGCATGACGGTTAAATCGGATTTAATGACATAACAACATTAAAAAAAATAATAAGATGAGAAATTGTATGAAAAATTATGAGAACAATTTTTACCAGGAATGACATGTGTACGCCTTTAAATGGCCATTTAACCGTTGTACTATTCTATACTTGTACTCGTTATTTCTCTATTATTGTTGTTTTTTTATAAAAAATGTGTAATACAATTTTAAAATATAAACATTGTTTTTTATTGTGTATATGTGTACAATTATTGCACAATATAATTATCTTGACTTCTCTGCAGCAGTTTTACATAGTGTGTATGTGAAACTGCCCCATTTAATAACGTACATATGGCCCTTAATAGAATTAAATAGCCTATCTAGGAAACAGAATCTGCGCGCAATCTGTCGTCAGAATCTGTCGACAGGCTCTGCGCGCAGTCTGTCACCAATCTGTCGTCAGAGACTGCTAAAACAGTTTCTGTGTGCAGTCTGTTGCCATTCTGTCAACAGACACTGTTGACAGACTCTGCTTAAAATCTGCTCGCACAGGTTTGGCTATCTGGGTACAAACAAACCTCCAATAGCTCCTACATTTGCAGTATCTATCTACAACTTATTAATAAATTAATTTTTCCATATTTTTTATTACAATTATCCCAGCAAACACAAAATACAACTGTTATATCCCTAACAGCACAGATATCCAGGGAACGTCCTGAATACGTTCTGAGAACGTCTCAATATCCTCAGAATATCCCTGGAATGTTCTCAGAAGTTCTTGTGCTGTCTGGGATAACATAGACGTAACACGTATTCTTGTTACCTCTATGTTATATAGCAATTATGTCTTTGGTAAGATTGTAATATTTCGACTATATTTAATACACATTTTTGTATATTTATTGAACATATTACATCAATCACTACTATTCTCTATCCTTTTCATCCATTAACCCAGACACAGCACAAAATATTTATAAAATATTTACAAAATATTTATAAGATATTTATTTGAATATTTTATGAATATTTACCAAAATGTTTCATAAATATATTTATAAATATATTTACAAAATATTTTTGTGACCTTAGATTCAATAGATGAAAAATATTTATCTCAAAAATATTATAAAAATATTTATTAAAATAGGTACATTTATATACATTTTCCTCTTTTCCAGAATTTTTCTTAAAATTTTTATTTTATTGTTTCATACGCTACTTATTTAAAACTAAATTATACTTTGAAAATTTGTTTATCATTGCTGAGATTCGAATTTCTTACTTTTTATTAATTTAATAATTTTAAATAATTACATTTATTTTTTTCATATATAATATTTGTAAATAGATATATTTACAAAATATATTTATTGCTTACTTTCAAAAACTACAAAAGATATTGATTTCGTTCAACTAACTTCTCTACAACTTGATCTATTAGAATTTTATAATCTATTAGCGTTTTATAATATTACAAATAATATCACTGCTTGAGGTAAAACGTGGAAGCCCGCGAACGTCTTGACATCAAGTGCCGCCAACACTAAAAATATTTATTTTTTGTTTACTATAAATATTGTATAAAATATTTAGTGTGTATTTTAATAATATTTTCAATGAAGATTTTGATACTTTTTCCTTCATATGTGTGTGTATATAAAATATTTATATTATATTTATATAATATTTTTAAGAAATAATTCGAAATAAATATTTATCATAAATATTGTGTGCTGTCTGAGAAACACACTACTTTCTTCACACATTACTTCCTGCACATTCGGAACTCAGGCTACAATTTTTCGGCAGCCGCTTGGATTGGGGTGCTAAAAGTTGTAAGCAATTACACGATTTTACTTGCAACTTAAATTAAAAAACGGTCAAGACGTACACAGTCTGCAGCTTGATATGCGCAACTGGATATACAGAACGATTAAATTATACATCGGATGCATCGGGTTATATCTGTTGCGAATAAAAGAACACACCCTAATAGCTCCTGCACACAGGACGCGGTAATGCTTGCCGCGTGGCGAAAGTCCACGCGACAGCCAATCAATATGTTGTTTTTCCGTAAGAGCTAGAAGGTTATTACGGAAAGCAGCATATTGATTGGCTGTCGCACGAACTTCCGCCGTACGGTAAGCATTACCACGTCGTGTGTGTAGGAATCATTAAGTCCATTCTACAATTGCGTAAGCGGAGTCGTGACCGTAAGAGACCGTAGTCGTCAACCAATCCGAATGTTTTATTTACTGATTGCTTTATTCTGATTGGTTGTCGTAATCACATACAACCACTTACACCACGTTCACGCAATTGTAGAATGGGCTTAAGAATTTACCAATCATATTGAAAATCGTCGAATTGTAAGGTCGCCATTTTTGTGAATACTCGATCGTAATTGGTCAATTCTTAGTTACATCTTACGGTTATTGGCTGCATTCAGCAGACTCAACAGTTGCACAACAGTTGAGTAACTTGTCAATGTAATTGGTCTAGATTTAGGGATCTAATAGCAAGAACCAATAATCGTTGATTGCTCACTGAGCGCTTTTTCTACTGAATGCGCCCATTGTTACGGAAAGTGTGTGTGGCCAGCTTTATATCAATTCGTGTGCGACGTCCCTTAGCAATCTAGTTTAATATAAACATCTGTGGTGTAAAGGTTTCTGTGTAATTAGTAATTTTTGCTAATTAAAGATTAACTTTAATTTTTTTTATGCTTATCAAAGGTTAATAAGTTTCTTCAAATGTATTGAATATGATACATTTCTATTTTGGATTATTTTGTAAAATTTTTTTATGTAATCAAGATGTAATAGATTATTTACTAATTATTTAGAAATTGATGTATATGTCATAGACGAATTGTTTAATGTGAGAAATTTCTATTTTGGATTATTTTATGAAAATGTTTTATATAATTATTACATTAAGATAGTAATAGATTAAAAAATATTTATCTTTTTACAGATTATGTTCTTATGTAAATCATAACACTAAACATGTATTCCAACCATTTGAACAAGACAATTTCAACTATAACCAGTACAGAAAAAGTATTTTTAACTGATTCGGAATTAGATGAAATTGCTTCATTTCTCGTTGGAAATCCTCAACGTTTTAGAGAAAATATTATAATTCCTAGAATGATAGGACCTGTACAAATAAAGACTAATGAAGAAAAGAAAATAGAAAGTGTAATGGAAAGCTGTGCATTTAAAAGCATCATGAGTTGTATTCTTGGTATATATTACTATATTTCTTTATACACAGATACAAGCAGTAATATAATATAAATATATATATATATATATATATATATACATATAAAAAAAAATATATGTATATATATATAAACTGTGTTAACTTGATATAAAACTTTTAGGATATGGTTTAGGAGCTGCTATTGGGCTATTTTCCTCTAGTGTAAATCCTAATGTAGCAATTGTTGAGAAGCAACAAAGTGCACGAGAAATATTACGGGAAATGAAAACAACTACACATGGTTATGCAAAAAACTTTGCAGTTATTGGATGTATATTTTCTGCTATTGAGTGTACTATAGAATCGGTAAAACTTAAATAACTAAAAATATATTAAAGATTCAATTTTCATATAATATGCTATGTTCAATTATATATTTGTTTTGATATTATAATTTATGTTTTGATTTTTAGTATAGAGGTAAAACAGACTGGAGAAATGGTACATATGCTGGTGGTTTAACAGGTGGAATAATTGGCTTAAGAGGTACTAATCATTTTAATGCATTTAGTAATATTTACTTATATAAATATTTTTGAATGTACTGTTTAACTTAAATATTTGTAGCTGGTATAAAAGCAGGTCTAGTTGGTGCTGCAGGCTTCGCAACATTTTCGACACTTATAGATTATTACATGCATAAATCCTAAATTTAACTTAATTTTAGTTATTAAAGGTATACTTGTATGTATATTATATATTGATTTTATATATATATATATATATATATATATATATATATATATATATATATATATATACACCAATATATAATTTATGTAATTTATTGATGTCATTTTTGTCTCTAATGTAATTTTTTTTACAAAACTAACAATATATTTTTAGTAACCTATAAAATATATTTCCTAAGTATATTATCTTACTGATTTATTTTTAAATTTATATATGCAGAATATTTTATTTTAATCTTTCCATTCGGACTTTATCTTTAGAACTAGAGATTTTTATAAAGAATGATATTGAATTAAAATTATTCTGCTTTTAAAAAGACGTTTTATAGATATATGGGCTACTTTTTATGGATAGTCTTTGTTTAAGATAGAATCATTTCCATGATTTCAATATAATTTACATTTAGAAAGAAATAGTATATTAATTTTTGCAGATTTGAATAATTTAAAAGTGTTTATTAAAAAATTTAATATTTTATTAAGAAAAACAATATTCTAAATGTTTTGAATTAAATGAAGTAATTTAGCGTTTGTACTTACACTGGACTTTTTGATAGCTTTAAACTATAATAAACACTTCTTAGTATTTTAGGAAAACTGTAAAAGATTCAACTCAGTCAATATAACATACATCCCCATACATACACAGCATAAAACGTCTCAGCAATATCTCAGAAATATTAAAAATATTATTTTTGAAACATTTTATTTGAGATATTCTTAGAACATTCAATGAATATTTTAAATAAAATATTTCGTATGAAATACTTTAGAAATATTCTATTCGAAATATTACATTGGAAATATTGTGGAAATATTTTGGAGATCTTGCACTACAAATATTTTAGAACATCTGTAATGAGATATTCTAGAAATATTCCATTTGAAACATTATAATTTGCGAAGTTTTTGAAATATTCTGGAAATCTGTCGCGGAAAGTATATCAGAATATCTCAGTATATTGAATATTCTAGAAATATTTTATTTGAAACATTACCTATTGTACAAATTTTCATTGTATGTATCATTCAAAGATTTCTTGACTTGAAGAAGTCGGTTAATTGTTAACACTCAAATTTAGGTGTTTTTCCCCAATTTTTAGGTGTTTACACCCACAATTGAGTGTTTTTTGTAAGGGTGTACTAATAATAATAATGAACACAAGTAATTCAAATAAATAATAATTATTTATTGTTATAATGTGCGTTTGCGTGTGTGCGCGCGCGTTTATGTGTGTGCGTATATGTGTCCAGTTCATTATATATTTGAGATAATTTTGAAACATAAAAATTATTCAAAATATTTGTATATATATTTATAAAAAAATTTTATAGAAACTACTCTATTTCAAGCCACAATACATTATTATTTAAAATCTTTTAAAAATCAATCTATGTAAGTCAATGAATTGTTTGAAGAAAAACTATATCTTATATGGATATCCTAGTAAAAATTTACTCGTTCAATAAACATATAAGATTAATAATTTTTTATAAAGTGAATTTTATGGGGTTTTTGAATGGATACTTGTACGTTTTTTATTAGCATATGTCCAAAATATTTCAAATACATAATATCAAAAATATTTTAAACTATTTCTACAATGTCTTCATATAAAATCTTGCAAATATTTTTACAATATTTCTCAGCAATCAAAATCTCAGCACTACTTTTCAGCATTCTGTTCCATACTGTCCGGGTCGCCGAAAAACGGAGCGCGGTAACGGGTTATGGTAAAATTTCGTTAGAATTCTTCTTGTGGAGAGATTTCACAAATTGGCGTCCTATGAAAGACTTATCGAAAAACTTGTCGAAAAACTGTTCATTAGAACGCTATAAATTTATCCTGATCGTATTGAATGTTTTCAATTTTCATTTCCATGAAAATGCTAATTATTTAACATTAAATTTCAATAAACAAGCATGAAATATTATTTTTAAAAAAAGATTATATCACAAAATTTTTTTAACGATCTATCCATCCCAGCAAACAGAATATAAATATTATATAACATAGAAGTAACACGTAATATAAAGGATGTTATACGTTATTAATGTTAAAGTTACATAATTTTTTTTTATAACTATAATCTGTGTTTTAGATCTGTTATAATTCTTTGTTATTTACAGGTTATAATTATATAACACCAACATAATTAAAATATAATATGTTATATAACAAACGTTTATTTGCATTACATCTATATATATTGCATTATATAGCATTCTTATATCTAAGGATCGGATCATTCACTAGATGGCTCCCGTTTTCTCGTGTCTTTCTCATACGTAAAATATGATGCATTAATACCCAGATAACAAAATGTTTTCACAGTGATATCATGGTGCGCGCACGCAGTGCGTATAATCCGCACGGCTTGCACGCATATTATCATACAGATGCGCCCTCATATGAGACCCATATTGCTCGCACACGTGCGACTTCACGTGTGCGAGTTATATGGGTCTCCACTGAGGACGCATCTCATACAGCACAGTAATGTTGAGTCAATGTTGAAAAAATGTTGAATTGTAAAAATGTCAATATTGCAGCAACATTGACAAACATTGCAAACCTTGATATAATGTAAAAATGTCGATTATTGATTTTTCCTTGACATTTCAACATCTTATTCTTATTGTTTCATAATAAAAAACTAATTCCTAATTTTCTCATGTTTTATAACTGCTAGAAACCGAAGATTATCAAACACACTCTAAAACTTTCGCGAATCCTCCCTCAATAATTTCAAATCCGAAGCCGTATGTCGGTCATCCATCCATCCTGACTGCATTGCTTAACTTGACGATCGAGCGGCACGCGGTGATTCCAATGACTCTAACGATGTTCTTACAATTTATGCTTATAAAATGTATACATACAGTGTTCATAGTATATTATAACGTACTTAGGAAATATACGCGTTGATTCGTCTATTTTATTTAATATCTTTAAAGTTTATTTGGTTATTTGCAAAACGACCGACTATTCCTTCCAGTTTAATGTTTTTTATGCATTTTTTGTTATCAATACAGCTTGCGTCAGACTCTATATAATAGAGAATATTATGAATAGAGAATAAATTGTACTTTTTGTTCAATATATATTCAACATTGCAGCAATATCTTGTAATCAATAGAAAAATCAACATATATTCTATGCAGGAAAACACTTGCACTTCTATCTTTAACGTTGCAACGTCTCATCAACGTTTTTTCAACGTTCTTGCTGTATGGGATCTCTGATCCGCAAATGAGACTGATATAACCTGCACGTTTGGGGTGCGTTCTTTTATTCGCAACAGATACAACCCGATGCATCCGATGCATAATTTAATCGTTCTGTATATCCAGTTGCGCACATCAAGCTGCAGACTGCGTAAATTTTGATCGTTCTTTAATTTAAGTTGCAAACAGAATCGTGCAACTACTTTTAGCATGTCTATCCAAGCGGCTGCCGGAAAATTGAAGCTTGAGTTCCGAATGTGCAGGAACCTTAAGGCTCCTGGGGAGTCGCATCATCCATCTCTTTTTAATGACGTCAGAAGCGAGAAAACGCATGCTAAAAATTCCTGCAAAATACGTCGAGATAAACAGATATATCCACAAAACGACATTTGCGATCGATTAAGTACACCTCTAAAATACTCCGTACACTTTCCTT